GTTCTGGGCACCACATTTCAAGAAAGATGTGGAGAAATTGGAGAAGGTTCAGAGAAGAGCAACAAGAATGATTAAAGGTCTAGAGAACATGACTTGTGAAGGAAGGCTGAAAGAACTGGGCTGTTTAGTTTGGAAAAGAGAAGATTGAGAGGGGACATGATAGCGGTTTTCAGATATCTAAAAGGGTGTCACAAGGAGGAGGGAGAAAACTTGTTTTTCCTGGCCTCTGGGGATAGAACAAGAAGCAATAGGCTTAAACTGCAGCAAGAGAGGTTTAGGTTGGACATTAGGAAAAAGTTCCTAACTGTAAGGGTGGTTAAACTCTGGAATAAATTGCCTACGGTGGTTGTGGAATCTCTATCTCTGGAGATATTTAAAAGTAAGTTAGATAAATGTTTATCAGGGATGGTCTAGACAGTATTGGGTCCTGCCATGAGGGCAGGGGACTGGATTCGATGACCTCTCGAGGTCTTTACCAGTCCTAGTATTCTGTGTGGGGGTGATCCAGGGGAAGCAACTCAAACATCCAAAGGGGCTCGCGGGGGGGAGGGGGGGAGGTCAGGATATCAGCCTTGCAGCGGAGGGATGGGTGTGGCAGTGACTTCACAAAGGACTTTTGTAGCACCTCAGCTGGTTGGACAAAGGTGGTGACCTCACAGAGAGAACCTGACATCAGCCATCCTGGACAGAGATTTAGGGCAGGGGCAACATCAAAGACCCCAATGGCTTTGCTAGGGCAAAGCTTCTTCTTGAGAATTCTCCTTGAGGACTGAGAGAGAATTAGGGTTCATGTATTGGAGATTAATGACAGACTTCTCTAGAGTTCTCTCGTTTTCTGCTACTGATTTTGTAGTTCCTCTTTAGAAGGTAAAAAGCTGCAGAAAGGTTTGGAACCCATCCAGTCTGATCCAGCTGGCAGCATCCCTAGAGGAAGACGGGACTCGGTACACAACCCGTCCACCTCTGGCCTGCCCCACCTCCACTCCACTCTTTTCTCCAAACTCCACCCTTCTCTGTCCCTACCCCGCCTCTTCCTAACCCTGCTTTGCCTTCTCCTGCCACCATTACACTCCTTTCCCCTAATCCTCTCTGCCAAGTGACACTACCCAGGAGATTACTGAGACCGGCAGCAGGAGTTGGGCCCCCACGGCACACACCACAGCAGCAGGAAATGGAGCAATTCAGCACCAGCCTCCTACACTACTCTCAGCCCAGCCCCCAATCATGTTTCTTGGGGGAACACAGTGGGCTGTAGCTGGGGCACTACATTTTCCACCATTGTGGTGAAGCAAAGAGACCCAGATGGAAGATAATGAAGTGGAGCAGGCTGGGACTGGGTCACTCCACTTCCCACCACTGTTGGTGAGTGCCGGGGTGAGGCAGGTCCCTACTTCTGGTGTCATATTCTCTAGTAATGCCTCAGGGTCCCCCCAAAAGACAGGGCCTGATGCGGCTGCCGAAACCATCAAATGTGGAGCACTGTCTGGGTGAATTCTAAGCCCTGGCAACACCAGTTTAAGGTGTCAGAATTGCATTTCTTCCCCTAGGACTTTCTCCTTAACTTTTGTCACTTGGGTACATTGGTGTTTGTCTTGTTTTGGTTTCCCTTTCCCTCTTTTCCTCCCTTCTTTGTCTTCTTTTCACCATTTTTCCTGCTTATTTCCTCTGCTCTGAGCATGTTTCCCTCTGGCTGTGACCTGGGCCATCCTTTGGAACATGTGACCCTCTTCAAACCTGTCAGAATCTCCATGCTGATTGGTCAAGCTGGGGCTACTGACAGTGGGGACTCAGGAGCTTTTCTTCTCTTTTAAGGTCAACAAAATAAGTCCTAACCAATCAAGTATTTCATTAAACTTGCTGCTTCCAGCTGATTATTGTCTGTGAACTTTTTTTTAATCTGTCCAGTATTCTAGTTCTTCTAAAACATTTGATGAATAATGAGTATACACAACTGTTAGTCTATAGCTCATTTGAGAGCACTTTCTCCTGAGCATTCAGTGTGTTCTAAATGGCTGACCAGGGGCAGGATATCAGCCTTGCAGTGGAGGAGTGAGTGTGGCAGTGAGGTCACAAAGGCCTTGTGCAGTACCTTAGCTGATTGGACTAAGGGGAATTGGAGGTGGTGACCTCACAGAGACACCATGACATCAGCCAGGCAGGACTGTGGTGCAGGACAGGGACTTGCTCAGACCCTCATGGCTTTGCTAGAGCAAGTCTTCTCAGGGGCTCTCTTTGAGGACTAAAAGAGAATTAGGATTCATGTACAATAGCTTAAGGAGGGATCTCTTCACTATTTTCTCCTTTCTTGTTTCATGATTTTATAGTTCCTGTTGAGAAGCTGTGAGATGAAGAGAAGTTTGGAATCCATTGACTTGTTCAACCTGGTGCCAGCTGAATTCTAAGCCCTGAAAACACTAGTTTAAGATGTCAGAATTAGATTTGCTACCTAGAACTTTGTCCTGAATTTTTGTTAACGGGGTTCATTGAGATTCATATTTTTAGGTTTTCCCTTTCCTGTTTCCCTCTCTCCTTACTCTTCTTCTCTGCTTGTTTTTATCCTTTTGCCCACTTTCCTCCACCAACCAGATTTGTATGTCAAGTGGCGGGGCTGAGGACTCGTTGTGAGAGTCCCTGACAAAGAGTTGCAGCTGGAATAGTGTGTAATAGTGCTCTGAGCATGATCCTCTCTAGTGGTGACTTGGGCCATCCTTTGGGACATCTGGTGAGACCCCTCAGGCTTCCACCTGTCAGAATATAAATGCTGATTGGCTACGCATGGGGCTACTGACAAGGAGGACTCAGGGCCTTCTGTTCTCTTTTAAGACCAACCAAATAAGTCATAACCAATCAAGTATTTGGTTAATCTTGCTATTTATCAACTGTAATTGTCTCTGAGCAGTTCATAAGTCTCACTAATATTCCACATTTGATGAATACTGAGGATAAACAATTGATGGTCTATAGCAGTGGTCCCCAACCATTGGAGGTTGCTGGACGCCAGGGGGTGTGGCCATTCGCCCGCTGGGCGCCAGAGGGCGGGGACACTTGCACACCTGGGGGCGGGGCCACCTCCAAGAGCTGCGTGCCCGGAGGCGGGGCCACCTCCAAGAGCCGCGTGCCCGGAGGCGGGGCCCCCTCCAAGGGCCGCGCACCTGGGGC